TTAATTAGACCTAGCTGACCCTTAATTTCCCAATCAAGCTTTAAAGTTAAAACCCTAGCTAGGTATCATCACCAACCCTATATATCCAGTTTAAGGGCATTCAAAGTAGATCTAGTTCTGATTCACAACTCTACTCTCTGTGTCTTGGTAAATGTTAAAAAGAAGTTGAGAATTCAGGCTTTTAATAAAATCTAACAGGCATGCTTTTAAAAACATATATATACAATATAGGCGAAGAGGATAATCTATTAATTTCTGGCAACAATACAAAAAATATGACTAATAATAATTAATTAATATATATTTATGCGTAGGGAAGAAAAAATAGAAAACGATGGGAATTCCAGTGTGTTGTATACGTTGTATCAAGAATCCTCTAGGAGTGAGGTACACTTCATTAATTTTCATTATGAGGTGGGGAGGTAAAGGATTCATTCTTGGCTTTGAATATTATTATATTTGCTCTATCTTCCTTTAACCCATCTGCCAAGCTATGAATAACACACTTCTTGATCCTGCAAGCTTCCTCTACGAGAATCTCTGTTAAACACTTTTACCCATTACTAAGCTCAAATATTAACATTTTCACCCAAAAAAAATGTCTCTATATATATACACACCAGCTTCAAACCATAACAAAATTGTCTTCTTCTTCTTCTTCTTCTTGTCAGTGAGAGAGAGAGAGAGATCAGAGAATGGGACATGTGATGAGAGAAAAGGTGGGGAACATGTTGAAAGCATATGAAGATGGTACTTACGAAGAGATGGCCAAGTTTGGGGCATATTTCAGATCAAAGTATGGGATATCTCCGAGCACTGCAATATCAGTAATTCTGGGCTGTTTTTGCCTTTACATGTTGGTGAAGCGTCTCAGGGGATCAAAACAAAAGCCTGTTCTTCATAGATCAGGGTCAATTGCAAGCCTTTATGGTGGAGATCTTGCGTTGAAGAGACTTGATGACTATAATGCAGCCATTTCCATACCCTACGTTCTTGAACGCAGCGACCTTGTTTTGAAGGGTCTGCTTGAGGAAGAACATCTTGACTTGAAGAAACTCCAGGTAGGTTTGGCACAATATAATTATGCATCTTTCTTGTGTACGTTTTTTTCACCACGGAGAGAGAAATTGGTGTAGGGTTCGTGGATGGTTATATCTCTCTCGCTACAACATCATGATACTATAAAGAGAAAAATAGAGTGTGTAGATTATATAATGTGAATTAGCATTAGTTAACTAGCGGGAGTGAGATTATTTAATTTTATTTTAAGCAATATAATTAGTCTCGATTTAGTATTAACATTGAACAGATCTATCAAGTCCTCTCTATATGGCTATTTTATGATAGGTTGGGTCACACATACATAAGTCTACATCCCTTTAGTTATCAGTGGTTTTATATGAACTCACATCACTTGTCTATAACTATCGCTCTTAAAACATATTCAGTGTCGGGCTATTGTGGTTGATAATTAGGGTTATAATGAACACGTGTCTTGAAAACGATTCTTTTTTTTTTTTAAATTTGTAAAAACGAATGATATGATAATAATTAATGGTATTGAGGATTTGAAATTGTGAATGGAAGACCGTGACGGCAAGGCTGGAGATGGCCGGAAAGGAAGAAGAAGGGGTGAGATTACTGAATGAAGCAAAAACGAAGAATGCTCGATTGGAGAAATCTCATCATGTTTACGAGATTGAAATGTTACTCCTCGAAATGCTCATCTACATGGTACTATATTACATTATATTTTTAATTTAATTTAGTTTTTTTTTGGTAAAAATTCTTTATTGATACTTTTCTTTATTCTGACGCTTGCAGGGACAACTTGATGAAGCTCAGAAATGTGATTGCATAAAACATAAAAAAATCATAGCATTTGATGCTCGACGTCCACTTTTCAAGGTACGTACTTCAACTCCATTCTTATATAATATCTGAAGTGTGTGTGTGTGTATAAGCTTAATAAACTACCTAAGTTTCCTCCAGAAAAGCAAGAAGACGTCTATTTTCAATCTGAGATTACTACATGTACATTTCATTGTCATTTTACATGTACATATAGTTTTATATGATATATATATAAATAAAAGGTTCATAAAATTTTTTATCTCTCAAATTTGCACAAATTTTGATTTTGGTTCCTCAAGTTTCAAACTATATGTTTTGACTCCTCAAAGAGCAAAATGATCTAGGCTTTTATTAAATTATAAAGACCAACATTTTAGATTGAAGAAACTTGAAGGACCAAAATATATGGCTTAAAACTTAAGAGACTAAAAGTAAAATATGAGCAAATATGAAGAACCAAAAATTATATTAATCCTATATATAATTTCATGCTTGGATAGTCAGCATATATAAAAGTTACATGAATGTTTTTTTTTTAATAACTTAAACTGTTTCTCTATACTTAAGATGATATTTATTTATTTTTTGACCCAATATTTACTTAATTATTTGATCACTTATATATATGCTGGATTTTGTGTGATTGGAAAACTTATATTGGCAGGCACTTATATATGAAATGCGGCAAAACGAAGAAAAGGCAAAAAGTAATTGGGATAAATTTGTAGAACTGAGGCAAGACATCATGACACTGGTGGGGAAGGAACAACTTGAGCCAGGCATTAAAGATTTCGAAGGCTTCAAAGAGAAAGTCCAACATCTTCAAGATGAAATGAAAAAGAAAAAGAAAAAGCCCTTCGGAGTTTAATTATAAAAGCGCGCGCGCGCGCACACACACTATATACCCATTTCAGTTTATATCTATTTATTTATTAATTTAAATTATTATATATACGACTGATCTATATTTCATAATTTCATCGCATTGATTTGTATATATATGATTGTATGTTAATTTTAAATTAAATAGTTTATTGACCTATTGCTGTATGAGTTGCATGGATTGCACGTAACTATTAAACAAAGTACAATGTTAATGTTTACCTCTCGTGAGCATATACTCCAACTTCCTAGAATCTTTCTTTTTCTTACTATTAATCTAAACTTCGAAAGAAAAACTATTTTGGTTTCTAAATAATCCTATGATTCTAAATAACAAAAACCAAGAAAAAACTTGAATTTCATTAACTTTATTTAAAATGAAATAATTTTCTAACTCTATTCATATTTAATACACACAAACGTTTCAAAAAAAATTTATATAGCAGTAAATTAAGGGTAAAATTATACATTTATGTAATAAATTTAAGGGAGTGACTTTTATTAAGAATAAAAAATACTCTATCTCTCCATTATGTAATTAGGACTAAAAGAGTATAATCAATTTTATATGAATATTCTTGGAGTTTTTTCATTTAAAAAAAGTAGCCTTTATGTAGCAGTTGTCAATCAACCGGGTTAATTTACTTCCAGTTATTATCAAATATCATTATCACATCAGCAATACATCACCGTGTCAATGTAAGTCATCTCCAACAACCTTGACTAAAGTTGGCCATAATTTTAAAAACCAATGAAAAACTATAAGGATCTTAAGGGGCCTGGATTTTCTCCCTTTTTTCCTCACAATCTTATATATCTCTACTCTTAAATAAATAATGAATAGTTTAAATTTAATATTAGATTAAGATGTATTCAATACCCTGAAATATTTTTGAAGGTATATCTAGTATTATAAAATATTTTGTTGTGCATTGTTGCTCCTAACATATTAAAAATGGAACAATTTCATCCTAACTTAACGGAATCACAAATGTCCGTTAATCCCCCAAAAAAAAGCTTGCTCCTATAAAATTAAACTGTTAACGTTTGGTATGTGTGGTTCATAAATGCAGTATAAAAAAAATTAAGTTCTAAAATATTACCATAATAATTTTATAAAATATTAAATATGAAATATTTTTGTATCTAAAGATGAAAAGGAGAAAAGATAGAATCTGCTTCCGGGAGAATTTTTGACAGTGAGGAACCTATATATCTATATTTCTCAGGATGGGCAAATTCACAAATAATCATTGTAAGTTGTCATTTTACTTATTTCCCCTTAATAAATGGACCTTCACTTCAAGCTCATATTGTTATGGGCTGACAACGAAGCCCGACTGTAAAGTGCTGCCTTACCCACAACACACACGCATATTTTATATATATATATATATATATATAGACACACACACACACACACACACACTACAACCAAAAGCCTTCATTCATAATTAAATGCAAACGAACACTGAAAATGATGTGTTTTGGAAACAAAAAATGCATGGGTTCATTCGGGAATTCTTTTTAGTTTCTAATTAATTAGAAAATTTACATAATTTTTGCCCTCCTAATTTCAGTGAGACCACTTAATGTTTGTCCGATCATATAAAATTTTTAATTGAGGAAAAACAATTGCATATTTGGCTGCTAAATATTATGTTAATAAACAAATAGTCAGAGTATAAATTTAAATAATATAAAAACACTCATGTTAGAACTAATGGCTTAAATTAATGTTACAATATTCAGACTTTTGTTTTAGGTTTTCGTCATTGATTCGCCACCACAATTTTATATTTATTTTTATAAGGTGCAAAAACTTGTCTCCTGGCTCCTGTAGGAAAAAACGTTGTCTTCTTGATATTTCATTTTTTTATGTGGACAAAATCAATAAAAAAAAAAAAAGAAGAAGAAGAAAAATATGCCGACACAAGAATAAAAGAATGAAAAACCCAGAATAAAGGTATTCTTTGAAAGGAGGCTTAGTATCAATTCTTTTAAAGGCGTACTTCTTTCCATTATGAGTGAGATAAAGGGTTAATATTCTTGATTTTCTTCTTTACCTCTCTGCCAAGCTACGAGGTTCCTTGCCAGAAACTACGAACAATAATTTGATCTTAACTGAGTCACAACTAACTCATCATATCCCCATATAATTATATATAACCAGAACTTGCGCTTCCACCGGAAGCATATAAACTGCTTTAATTTCTGCTATATGATTGTGGCAGAACATATCTTCTTTTTCTTCTTCTTCTTCTTCTTCTTCTTATGAGTGTGAAAGAAAGGGATCAGAGAATGGAACTTCTGCTAAAAGAAAAGGTGGTGAACATGTTGAAAGCATATGAAGGAGGTATGTACGAAGAGATGGCTAAGTTTGGGGCATATTTCAGATCAAAGTGTGGGATATCTCCCAGCACTGCAATATCAGTCATACTGGGCTGTGTTTGCCTCTACATGTTGGTGAAGCGAAGCTGGGAACCAAAGCAAACGGCAAAGACAAAGCCTAAGATTCTTGAAAGGTCCAAGTCAATTGCGAAGCTGTATGGTGGAGATCTTGCATTGACCAGACTTGACGACTACAATGCAGCTGTGACCATACCCTGCTTTCTGGAACGCAGTGATCTTGTTTTGAAGGGTCTGCTTGAGGAAGAACACCTTGACTTGAAGAAGCTCCAGGTTTGGTACAATTAGCTAATTAATTGATTCAGTTTTCTTATTTATATATGCACTATATCTTTGTTGTGCATGGAGGCATTTGTGCGGGGTTATGTCTCTCTTTGTTCCTACAGAAGGGAAAGATAACCAATTGTAAAATCTCTCTCTCTCTCTCTCTCTGTGTGTGATATTCCCCCTCGCTTCATCCTGAAAACTAAGGAATTCTTGCCTAGAACCAGTTTCCTTGAGCCGATACGATCAAGAGTTTTAGACGAATCGATTGAGTTGAATTTTATATATTCCTTTTTCTCTCGTTGAGCCTGAAATTCTGTTTGTTGGATTGTGTGTAGTTTATATGTGAATATTTTATTTACTTGTATATTAATGCCTTTTTATTCAAATTTTTTTTGGGCGAACAGCCTTTTTATTCAAATTTTGTTTTAATTATAACTGGCCATTTGATTTTGAATTGACCCAGTTTAAAGCACTACCCTTTAAACCATTATCCTAACTAGTGGTTTATTCATTACTACGATTTTCAGTAGTCATAACAGGCTTGGTTTGCCTAAAAAAGTCATATTTTCAAGTCCTCCGACCTCAGAGTGTAGCACACTTAATAAACAAGCTGGTCCATCAAGCCGAACCCAAATTACTAGCTCATCCCATCATGCATGCATATATACATTCATTGCGACTATGTTAATAAAATGAAAATAAAAATTTTGTTTTTCTGTGAAAATGTGTGATGATAATAATAATGGGATTGAGGATGGATTTGAAATATTGTGAATGGAAGAGTGTGACGGCAAGGCTGGAGATGGCTGGGAGGGAAGAAGAAGGAGTGAGATTACTGAAAGAAGCAAAAACGAAGAATGCTCAAAAGTCTCACCATGTTTACGAGATTGACATGTTACTCGTCGAATTGCTCATCTGCATGGTATTATATTCTATTTTTCATTTCATTTTATTTTCCCCCCAAAATTTCTTTATTAATTTATTGACTGATCATCATGAGGATGAATTTCCTTTATTTCTGACGCTTACAGGGAAAACTTGACGAGGCCAAGGGCTGTGCATGCCTGAACCAGCAAAAAATGATGGCATTTGATGCTCGACGTCCGCTCTTCAAGGTACTTCATCTCTTTTAGACTCTGATTTCATTTTAGTTTTAATCCCTAGAATTTGACCTTATTTTGATCCGTTTAACATTTTTGGTTCCTAGAACGATGTTTTTAGTCCCTAAAATAAGGTTTCAAGGACCAAATTTATCATTGATTTCAAATTTCAGTGACCAAAACCAAAGAAGATAATATTAACCCAATTTTTTAATTTATTCATCCATTTATGTGGACTTATTATATAAATGCTGGATGGGGACAATGTTCTGAAGGCAATAATATATGGAATGCGTGAGGATTGGGGGAAAGCAGAAAGTTTTTGGAATAAGTTCGTGGATCTGAGGGAAGCAATAATGACAATGGGGGGGCAGGAGGAACTGAAGCCTGAAATTAGGGATTTCAGGGACTTTGAGGAGAAAGTGAAAGATTTTCATAAGGAAATTGATCGGAGGTCGTCGCAGTTTGCAAGGCTGCACAGTGGGGATGTTGCTTTGAGGAGACTTAAGGACTTCAATAAGCCCCTACCTAATCATACTTCTGAACCCCCAGCTCTTGTTTTGAAGACTCTGCTTCAGGAACAACCTCTTGACTTGAAGAGGCTCCAGGTTTGGCTTTCTCATATCAACTCACTTTTCTTCTTTATGCATGCATGATATGTTGGTCGTGTGTGTAGAGAGAGAGAGAGAGAGAGAGATTGGCTTCTTTTTTTTTCAAAAAAATTTTTTTTTCCTTATGTCTAGATAAAATTTGTCTCATGGATATATTTTGTATAGCATAAAATCACTTAAAATAATAAGATTCACGAGCTCTAAATTTGGGGCCGACCTTAGATATAAAACATATGGCTAATGGATTTGTTTTGGTATTAAAGATAAGATCTTAGTATTCTCTGTCTCTCTGACTTAATAAATTATTTTAATTTTCTCAAATTATATCCTCATTAAATTATAGTCTTTCCTCCCGATCTTTGCCTTTCATATTTAATACCCTCATTAAAATAGGAAAATTTTACGAAAAGTAACATATATTGTATAAATTAAGCAAATCACCAACTTAAACCAATGTCTTAAATCTTCATAAATTAGTTAAATAGGTTTTATATTTAAGATTAGAGAAAATATATTTCTTCTTGCTATTGATCCCAAAATAAACCTCTTTTTGCAACATCATGCTGCTACGCTGTATCCAAGAGAATTGGAGTTAATTGGCAGGTCCCACCAATTTTAAGAATCTCTCTTCTCTACTCTGTGTAGAAAATGAGGACTAATTGTGTGTTTTGGTAAGAATGAATGTATATTAATGATGGCATATAGTGAAGATGAATTGACAATGTGAAATTGTGAATGGAAGAGTGTGCTAGGAAGGCTGGATATGGCGGAAATGGGAGATGAAGAAGTGAAGTTACTAAGTGAAGCAGCCAAAATGAAAAAATCTGAAGCTGCCAAATCTCTTGACGCTTACGAGCTTGAAATGTTACTTGTTGAGATGCTCATCTATAAGGTAATACTATTTGTAGTTTAAGCTTTTTCAAATCGTTAAATTTTTATTCATTCATAATTAATTATTCCCTTTAATTTACTTTTTCCAGGGAAGACTTGATGAAGCCTTGCAGTGTCAATGCTTGAACCGTTCACAAAAGCCACTCGAAGTCGACGCTCGCTCTCCACTCTTCAAGGTACTTCAATTAATAACTTACATTCCTTTAAATTATTTATCTTTTTTCCCTTAAAAAATTCTCATGAATTCCCATTTTCCTATAGTTGAATTCTCTACGCATATAAGAGAGATGCAAGGCGCATAGAATTTATTCAAATAAAATCATTCATGTTTTGAACCAAAACACTAATAACCTGTAGTCTTGAAAAACAAATTTGTGTTTGTCAATATAGAGTGTGTGTGTGTGTGTGTATCAAAACTATTATATAATAAAATATATACAGCAATTACTATCAATATTTAATATAAATTCTATTTCAAGTAATGCTTGTGCTTTTTTTTTTTTAAAAAAAAATTATTATTCTATGCAAGTGCATGGGGCCGGAGATCTATCATGTAATGAAATTACTCCTCTGGTCTTTAATATAAGACCCATTTAACTAATTTGATTAGATTAAAGAAGTTAAGTAAGTTAGTTAATTATAAGAAAAGTGATACATTTTTCTTAAAACACCATAATAATCTTTCTTAATACCCCATCTCCCTCTTCTATTTGATTATGGTTGAGAAAGTATCTATAGGGGTAATTCAGAAAAAATTGATAAATATGAGAAATGAATCTTATATTTAGAATCAAAACCAACTTAAGAATTGGGTCCTATATTAAGGATCGAAGGAGTAGTATTTACAAGTCATTATTTTTTTCTTTTTAGTCTTGCTATAATATACGAAAAATGTTATTTATTTAATTATTTTGAAACTTATGTTGGGTTTTTATGATTGGAAATATTGACAGGCAATTATATATGGAATGCGGGACGATTGGGGAAAGTCTCAAAGATTTTGGAATGAATTCGTAAATGTGAGGGGAAAATCTATGGCAAAAGTGGGGCAGAAGGGCCTTGATGAGATTACTAATTTCGAAATGTTCAAAGAAAAAGTCCAACATTTTCGAAGTGAAATCGCCAAGAAAAATCCTTGAACAATACTATGATGTCTCAGTGTCATGCAAATATATAAAAAGGGAAGGGACAAAAAAGAGAAAAAAGATACGATTAGTTTGGAAGCAGATCGTACCGATTTCAATAATGTATTTTTATTTATTTAATCTGATAAAGACATGTATGAATTTATTCTACATTCATATTTATTTATTTTTTCATTTTAACAATTTGCTTTTTCATTCAGTAGTTTATTACTGATTGCCATTTAAACTATTTAAACTAAATTATTGGCAAACTATATTAGATAAATCATATAATAAACATTAAACTAAAAAGCTATTTATTGCAAGCAGTCATGAGGACTCAGAAATTAAAGTCCCTTTTTTCTTCCCTCTCGTTTGTTCGAAGGCCTCAGAAGCCGTTGGACAACTACAATTATTAGACAGAATATTGTTGACAATACTGTCAAAGAGCCTCACAGATATATGATATTAAATGTATGATAGCTAAATTAGAATTTTATTTTCTATATATTAGCATATGGAGAAACCTATAAACCCTCGTTTAGGGGTTAATGGGCATGGATACATAGAAAATATAATATTCTCTATTTTTGAATGAGTTATTCATAGCCTTTTAATTTTTTTTCTTTTAAAAAAAACTATCACGTGCAAAATTAAACAGGATTTTCTATTTGAAGATGGAGGGAAAAATATTTTTAAGAAAATTTTAATACTCAATAATTATTTTTTTTCCCAACAACCCATTTGCAAATTTTTTATTTTGCACATTATTTTGAAAGAATAAATAATATTTTAAAATAAATTAATAAAATAGAACAATATAATTTAAACGAATGACATCTGCTGAAAACTCTAGTCCTCCGCACGATATAGTGTGCGCTTATATAGTTTCGCTCTCAAAGTCCCAGGCTCATACTCCCTTCATGTTTCAAACTTGACAAAAAAATCTCACATTGTTATATATTTTTTTAGTTCTATTTATAAGATATTTTCAACATGTTTCATGTTGATCAAGAAAAATATTAAATTTTATTAACTCTTATTTAAAATTTAATAACTTTTTTAATTTTATCCTTATTTAATATATATTATATCTTATGTAAATAAAATCCACACAATAATAAATGATGAGTAAAATTATACATCTACATGAAAAATTTCTCTCAGTGCCTGATTAAAAATTTTTTTTATCTCTCTGTCCTATATATATATATATATATATATATATATATGGGTGAAACGCCTTATCATATTAAGTTCTTTTAGTAAATAACAGATAAAATAACAGCAGGAGAATTGTTTGTATGGAGGGCTTGCTTACTGTAAATTTTTTAAATATTAAATCCACATATAACACAAAGTTGAAGAAAGATACGTTAATTAAGGTGTGGGTACGCACATAAAATGGAGATCTATCTTTTATTTTGGTCCATTTAATTATGGGCCTCCAATTGTGGACCTCGATCGACTTCAAATCTCTAGTTATTTGGGCTTATTAATAAACTCATGTATAGAACTAAAAAATCATAAACTAATAAAAATTGAGTATAGTAAAACGATTGCCTGTAACAAACCAAGGTTTGAGAAAGAATTGCATATATTTAGTTCCAACCATATCTAAGATAGAATTACTTCTAATCTACTACAAGAATGACAAAAACAAATAGCCTATATTTACTTTGTTTTTCTCTAATAAAAAACAAGCTTGTATATGATGGCGCGCTTGCTTGCATAAGGATACATGTCTATAAATATATGAGCTAATTTTTTAAATAAATTCGGAATAAGAATAATAAGAATGACGAAACAACCAGAATATATATATATATATATATATATTTCTTATGCGTGCTGTGTGCTTTCGTTTCTTAAGTGAGATAAGGTATCAATTCTTGACACTGAATATTTGTTCTTCTTTAATTTCGCTATCTGCCAAGCTAAGAATATATATCACAATGCTCCATCTAAAAACCTTCCCTTTAACATAACTAGGATCAACTATAAAATTCACACGCGTTCGTTTACTTCAAAATACAATTGAAAAAAAATAATTCTTGTTCTTGCTGTTTCTTGTGAGTGTAAGGGAGATTATTGATAGAGAAAGGGATTACAGCATAGAAAAGCTGCTAATTAAAGATGGTGAATAGTTATGGAGAATATTTAACTTCAGAGTTTGGGATATCTCCCAGCACTGCCATATTAACAGTCATCATTGGGTGCGTTTGCGTGTACATGTTGGTGAAGCGTCAATGGCAACCAAAGGAAAAGCGAATGCTTCAGAGTTCAAAAGCACTTGCAGAACTGTACGGTGGAGAACTTGCATGGAAGAGATTGAACGATTATAAGGCAGCTTTGGCCATTCCTGATGACGCTTTGGATCAAACTGGTCTCCTTTTGAAGGATTTGCTTGCCGTGGATGATGAGCAACGCCTTGACTTGGACAAGATTCAGGTTTGCCACCTTCATTGCTCTCTATATACTATCACTGGTCCTTAATATAAGAGCTCTTTAACTAATTTGAGTAGATTACAAAAATTATTTAGTTAGTTATTTATAACAAAAATAGGTTGGTTTTTTTAAAAAATTCTTTTTAATCATGATTATCCTTTGATGGAAACCTCATAACATGTATAACTAATAGGGATATTTTAGAAAATAAATTATAAATTGGAGAGACAAAATGAATTGAGACTCTTATATTTAGAATCAAATTCAATTTCCAACTGAATCTTATACTAAAGACCGAAAATAGTACATAGATATAATACCTACTTTTCTTCTCAAGGTCCTTTATTTGACCCAACTGACACCAAACATCTTTTTAATTAAATCTTGTTTCAACATCAAGTTATGTGTTTTTTTTTTTTTGTGTGTGGGTACTTTGGCTGTGAGTTCTTTTCACCCGAAAAATGTTCACATAAAATGACACTTTGTGTGTTGAGAAAATTACAATAAAAGACCAAATATGAAAGCTAATAAGGATCACAAAATTCGCAAATTAGTCTTAAAAACCTTTCCTCTGCATCTGCAAACAATTTTTTTTTTTTTTGCAAAAAGGGTGATGACTGAATTGCACTTATTGTTAAATGTGCGATCTTTTGAATGGTAAAGTGTCGTACTGTGACTAACAAATTTTCACTTCCCAAGTGCTAAATACTTGTATTTGGACATGTAAATGAGTGTTTTTTAATTTTGGCAAAAGAAAAAAGCTTATTTAACACTCATATTTGTAAACTTCAGTACTCACATGATGCAAATAAATGCAAGCTAAGTAGGAGTATTCACAATTTGGCATAGAGAGAATTTAAATTCATAAGCTCCCATAGAAGAATTTAGCACTAAGAAATCGCAAATTTAATAATGAGGGTGCAGTCATTACGCTTCAAATAACTTCTCATTTTGCAGTTCAAAAATAATTTCCCTTTTTTGTGAAAGAAATTTTAAAATTAAATTATATCAATTAATGATTTCATATATAATAGCATTCTTAGTCCGTCCTTATAGATTGATTGTATTTTAATTTACGTCTCTGCGGTTTTTAATAGTTCGTTTCAGTCCTTGTAGTTTCACAATTTTATAGTTAGCTTTAACAAATGGTCCCTGTTCATTTAGCGAATATCGGTTTTGATCCTCATGCTAAAACCCAGATTAAATCTTTATAAAATTATAGAAATCAAAATCAATGATTTGAAACTATATGGATCAAAACCAAAACTACTGGATCAAATTGTAAGCAACTTACAACAAAGATATTAACCCTAAATTAATTTGAGGATGTGAAATTGTGAATGTGGACGCAATATTAGAGCGTGGTGGAGAAGCTGGAAATGGCGGGAAGGCATGAAGGAGTGAGTATACTGCAATCAGCACATGTCCGACATTCTGATAAATCTTTTTTGGTTCATGAGATTGAATTGGCACTTGTGGAAATGCTTATCTACAAGGTATTGCTTCATATTATATTATTATATATAATCTCCTTTATTGCATTTTAATAATAATAATAATAGTGATTTAGAATTATATTTTTTAATTTATTTATTATGAGGAGGAATTATTAATTATTTGCTAGGGAAAACCTGAAGAAGCTTTGAAATGGGAATGCATGGCCTATCAAGAAATTCAATTCGATGCTCGACCTCCATTCTTCAAGGTACTTCAACTATGTAAATTATTAATTATGTTTTTTTTGCCACTAAAAATAATATTACCTCTGGTTCTTAATATAAGAGTTAATTTGACTTTTATTTTGATTCTAAATATAAGATCTCAATTCATTTTATCTCTCTTATTTATTTATTTTTTTCAAGATAGTCCATGTAATAATGGTAGTTCTAGCTAATATACTTGATTAGCAAGAATATTTTAGAAAAGACAACACCTATTTATTATAGATAACTAACTTAACTTATTTCCTCAATCTATTTAAATTAGTTAACTAGCTCTTATATTAAGAATCAGAGGTAGTATTATATTGTTCCCGTGTATTGCACAAACTCATAGTTTTTTCCTTTTTGCCATACTTATACAATTTGTTATAAATTTATACTCCGTATTCGTTTTTTTCCCAATAATATCATTTTAACTAAATTACAGGCAATAATATATGGAATGATGGGAAATTGGGAAGAAGCAGCGCGATATTGGGATGAATTTGTGGATGTGAGGGATGGTCTTGTATCAATCGTTGGGGAAGGCTTTCTGCCAGCAGGAAGACTTCACAGAATTTCTGATTTCGAAAAGTTCAAAGGAAGAGTCCAAAATCTCCTCAACGAAATTATCAAGGCAAAAAAGTGAATTACCAGATATTTAAAAAAATAAATGAAAAAAAGAGGAAAATTCATCACTTTGTCTTAATATTTTTAAATTCACAATTGATCGTATTTACGGTTCATGAATAAAATAATTTCCCGAGTGCTACGGATGATTATTATTGATTACTAGACGGTTCTTTCCCGCATTTCTGTGCAGGTGGTAGTGGGCCATTTGTTTTTGTTTTTTTTTAAATATATTATTCAGCTAATCTGTTCAAGATTTATAATTTTTCCTTCCTACAAAGGTAATTTTTCAGAGGCTCAAACTCGAGACCTAAAAAGATTTAATGAAGCCTTACATCACTATACTAATTCTCCCTATTTGTCTCATTTTTTTAACCAAAAAACAAATCCCAAGTTTTTTGTGTCTTATATTTTTTTTGGGCCAAAATCAAAATAAAGCAACAAATGTTACTCAAGACTGTTTAATTTAGAACTTCCAAAATTGTCAACTTAGTTTCCGAAAATTTAACAGGGAAATTTAGAATTTTCAACTTGTGTGTGAATCAAGACATTTTTGTTAAATGATTTTTTTTTAAGCATTACTAAAAGAGTTGGGAATCAGAATTAATTCATATTTAATGTAACTTAGAAATCGATCATTAATGATCCTTTTACCTTATGATGAATTTTTTTTTTTTGTGGGTCAAAATACCTTATGATAAATTAGTTCTACATATTTTTGATGGGGGAAGGAGTAATTTTTTTGCATTTATGGTACAAGTTTAATCTCAAAGTAGTATGTTTTAATTAAAACCAACCTTGTTAGTAAAATATTAATATTTCAGTTAATTTAATTTAGGGTAGGTTTGATATCACTATCAATGTAGAAATTTTGTTGATAATGATCTACAAGTTTTTTTGAATGTCAGTAATGCAGCCTTCAACTCACTTAAAGTTTTCATTTATAAAAAAAAAAAAGAATTATAATGAGATCCTAAAAAAAAATTACAAAATAAGTCTGAAAAATTGTCATTTCTTATTTTAAAACTTGTCATTATAAACTGCTTAAGCTGTTATTGAAATTTTTTAATTTTTTTTTTTGAAATCTCATTGTAATTTTTTCTTTATAAAAAGATAAGAGGTTAAGGTAAACTAGTATTTTAAAATATTTTTTCAGACGTATCTAATACCTTGAAGTATTTAATGATGCATTTAACTCTCTAAAGTTTTTTTTAAATGCATTCAGAGCTTTAAAATATTTCTAATGTAATTTTTGTACTTAACAATTTATGGTGATGAATGCACCAAACAATAATTTGGAATATTGGATGTATTTAAAAAAATTCTTAACAGTATAGGATGCATCAAAATATAATTTAATGTATTAGATGTACCTAAAAAAATATTTTAAGATATTAAATATATCAAAAATATATTTTAAAATGTTGAATACATATAAAAAATTAGTTGAGGAAGCAAGTTGCAGCTTAATTCCAAAAACGATTAATTAATTAATGGTAACATTTTTTCCTTTATTTTTTCGCTCACGAAATGCTAGACGAGTCCAAAAGTTCGGTTTGGCATTAGGTTTGCATGAGGGTCCCACTTTCGACTCGGTGACAATCCGCATTGTGAAAATTCACGAGCAACTGAAAGCTTCAACAATCCCTCCTCCTTTTTTCACAATCACTCAAGATCAATAATCGTCATCAACCACTTTATACGAATCACTCTTCACTCTGAGATGAAAATCAAATCAAATTCAATTCAGCATTTCCCCAGAAATTCATTTGCTTCATCATGGGCAACCCAATTACACCAACCTCCTCTTTCAAACCTCTTTTCTTCATCTTCCAATCAAAGCTCCTCTGTTTCTCTCTGCTTTATCTCTTTGCCTCTCTTTACTTCACTTTCTCTCAATCCAAACAATGCTTCTTCACGTCATCGTCTCCCTCCAATGATCCTATTTTGTCTTCTTTGTATTCCTACCCTTCATCTTATGGAGAGCACAAGTATGCGATTCCAACAACCCGCTCTACCTGCTCTTCTCCAATTAAGTTTTCTGGTATGGACCATGATTTCTATGAACTGAGTTGTTGGATTTAACTTTTATTGAAATAGTGAATTTAGGTTGATGGATCTTGGTTCTTTGAATTCAGATTACTGGGATGTTTTGAAGGTAATTGAGAATTACGGCAAGAACTCTCCGTCTTCCTCGTGTGTTCTGAGGTATATGCAGGGTAATACGGATAGCTTTGGAGGGAACTTCAGTACATACAAGAGGTTTTCTTATTTCGATCACCAAAGCGATAATACCGAAATTCCCTGTGGTTTTCTGAAAGATTTCCCAGTAAGTGATTCTGGTAAGTTCCCCGTTAAACTGTCTGCATTCCCGTGTTTTCCTTCTGTCAGTTCTTCGTTTCAGCGTGTCTGAATTCCATTGAATAGCTGCTTCCTGAATTTTGATGTTCAGTTGGCTTTAGTCCTTAAAATCAGTGACACACCAAGAGACTGATATGCTGTGAATTTTTATTTTTCCACCACTAAAAGAACTTCACCATTCAAATAATGAATTGTTCTGTTAGGCGGAATTATGCTTGTTGAGAATTGCTTTTGAACCTCACTGATACTGAAAATCAATTTTTCCAGAATTCATTTTCTTTCTGTGGGTCATGAAGTTAATATGGTTCTAAATTGAACGTTGATGTTCTGTCTCTTTATTCAGATCGAATTGCCATGGAGAAATGTGATAGAGTGGTTGTAGTATCAGCAGTCTTCAATGATCATGACAAAATCCGGCAGCCAAGAGGCCTTGGATCAAAAACAATGGACTTTGTATGTTTCTTCATGTTCGTAGATGATGTTACTCTAAAGGGGCTTAAACACCATGGACTTCTGAATTCAACACAATCCAGTGAATACAAGATAGGTGTATGGAGGATCGTGAAGGTTTCAAGCCAAAACTTGTATCAGAACCCAGCAATGAATGGAGTTATACCTAAATTCTTAGTCCATAGATTGTTCCCGAATTCGATATTCAGCATTTGGATAGATGCAAAACTACAATTAACGGTTGATCCATTGTTGTTGATTCATTCGCTTGTTATAAATGAGAATGCAGACATGGCGATATCAAAACACCCATATTATACTCACACCATTGAAGAAGCAATGGCTACTGCAAGGTGGAAGAAATGGTGGGATGTCAATGCCTTGAAGATGCAAATGGAGACTTACTGTGAAAATGGATTACAGCCATGGAGTCCCAGCAAGCTTCCTTATGCCTCAGGTATGCTTTTGGCCTCAGCAATAGAACTGTTACAGTGCAAGAAAATTTAGTTTAGTTTCAATTCCTCCCAATGCAAGGCTAAGCGCAAAAACTCAAATCTGAGATTTAGACTCCCAGAATTCAAAGACATTTTACCAATCATACCAAAACTAATTTGTTAATAATGTTTACAACAACAACAAGCCTTATCCTACTAAATGGGGTTGGCTATATGAATTGCACAACGCTATTATATTCTATCAATAATCAAATCCTTAGATATGTTGTTAATCAGAAGATCTGGTTCAATGATATCATTGAGAGTTCTTTTCAGTCTTTCTCTACCTCTTTTTAATAATGTTTATTATTAAATTTTTTTAATAAAAGCATAAGACATTCCTTTACAGTAATCTATTTAGAACTGGTTTATTAGTGATTATTTTAGTGATGGTTTTGGGAGTTGTGTTGCATAGTGCGCTTAATTTTTGTAATAACTAATCAAGTTCCAACCCAGCATCTAGATGATAGATGATTGTTTCAAGGAACGTGGAAAGCCTTATTAAGCCGTTGACAAATGTATACAAAAATAATGAAAGTCTCTATTGGGGAAGGCTCGTCTAAGGAAGGTCTAATTTAAGTCATAGACCTGAGAATAATATGTGGGGTTTCATCTTTCACAGTATGAACTTGAGGGGAAAAATTAGAAATGAAGTAGGGAGAAGGTTTGAGTCAAATCTCAACGATCACGTCACAATAAATGTGTAGATGATATTCATGGTCCCAAAGTAGTTGTGCCACTGCCTCTGGAGTGTGTGGTCCTAAACCAAAGAGCCTTTGGATTATATATTGGCATTTAAGTCACAGTAGCACAGTTCTTAGAACATAGGGTTGGGGGATGCGGGTATCACATGCGACGTTCATTTTCTCCTTTTTCAGAGGTTCCTTGTTGGGTTCAATGTCGCCTCTGCATGGCACTTTTTTTTATTTATTTATTGCGTTCTATCTTCTGCCATCCCCACACATGGGTTTCTCATGTCTCTATCAGATAAAGGGAAAGTAAATCTGCACCCAAAATTAGGTGCTCTCCCGGTCCTAAAATATTTTTGTAGTGCAAATTACACTACAAAAAGCGTCTTATGTTTAAGACTAGAAGAGTATATCGTACCGCAAATTATGCAATGCAATGATACAAAAATTACACATTGTCTAATGACATGTCTCGTATTTGTAACAAAGCTTAAAAAAACCTTTTCCTTTATTGGTTCTGAGGCAGATGTTCCAGACAGTGCTCTGATCCTGAGGAAGCATGGGATGCGCAGTAACCTGTTCTCTTGCCTCATGTTCAACGAGTTGGAGGCATTTAACCCAAGGGACCAATTGGCCTTTGCCTTTGTGAGAGATAACATGAGACCCAAAATGAGAGTGAACATGTTCGAGGTAGAAGTTTTTGAGCAGGTGGCCATAGAATTCAGACACAACCTGAAGCACCTTGAAGTGGCCAAAACTGCCACCAAAATGCCCAGCACTAAAGGATCCCACAGAGCAGAGTCAGACACGCTGTTTGAAAATGGAGCGTCTGGCGGCGGATGCTCCAACTATCTAATCACAATGTGGGGTGAATCCCCACGATTGATACCCAAAAGTTAAGGACAGAATAATAATATGATTATTATTTGTTTATACAGAGTAAAGCGAAGGATAAGGAAGAAATAGGGGAGCCTAATTATTGGGTTTGTCTTTTGACAAAGTGTTAAAATCATAGACGGAGTCCAATACTTTAAAAAAGAGAGTAGGAGAGAATCTGTCTTTCATTTCATGAAGAAATATTAAAGCTGCCAGCTTGGGACAGGTTAGCAGGAACTTTCTGGTCTTTTGCTCTTTTGTATTTATTCTTTTCTATATATTCTCTTGGCTGGATTCCTTTTCCTAGTTGATGGTTTTTGATGTAAAGGGGAGGTAGAATAGTGAATTAATTTATTATTAGATGATTCATGGTTCATGCCTGTAATCCATTTATATTATTAATTATATAAACCCGTCTTTTTTTTTTTTCTAGTTATGAGCATTGACTTAGAGTTAACGGTGACAGAGCAGAGCTTGGCATTGCAATATTTTTTTTATTTGATTTTTTTGTGAGTATTTGATGGTTTTTATCGTTGAGTGAGTTATTCCGAAACAATAAGCTTCTTTTATTTTGAATTTGTAAGTACAAGAAGTGGTTACGAAGACTAACGTTTCCGAAAATTGGATCGAATGTGTCACATGTATGGGCTCTGGCTCAAAATGACGTGAAAAAATTGGGAGAGTAAGAATCGACCACCAACCAGTCAAATTGGGTGAATCAGTGGGAACTGAAAATATCGGACTAACAGGTAAGAAAAAAAAATATTTATGTCAAATTTCTTATATCAATTATGTGAAAATTCTCCTATCACATATATTAATCGTAACTGGATAACTAACATTGTGCACCCTAAAATGTTCTGCATTTGATAATTTAAAACTAATTTGAGAAATATGTTAAGTTAAACAGATTATGCAAAACGGTGTTACTTGAATATTTTACTGGGGCTTTAATTATTTCCTCACCACAGACTCTTAGCCACTACCAACAAAATAGCACATTTGGGGTAGATTTGTGACTAATTCGAGCTCTTGCACGTATTTAGTACAAAATACAAATTGATCAGTCATACAAATTTTTATCCGACGGAATTCACATTTTCCAGCGCAATTTTCTTGATTATTTTGTTACTGCGGCCAATCTAGTGTACTTTTGTCTTCTTCTTTTTTTTATAAGATTCAAAATTTTAAATTCGTCCGGTCCTTATTTATAAATTCCAGTTTTGAATTATCTAAATACTAAATACATTTTTCACAATTTTACCTCTAATTAATTGCATTATCTCTTTTCACATATTCTCTTTTTTTTTTTTTTTTTGCTTCATCATCTCTATCACTCACCTTCACTCTTATTTAGGAAAAAAAAGTATATTTTTAACATAATTATTACTTTTAATTAATATTGATAATATTTTTAAACCATGTAATTCATTCAATTGAATATTATCAAAAGTACAATTCCCATCCTTAATATAAGTTACTTACAATATATTTCATATTGCTAAGGAATGTATTAAATTGATAAATTTTTTTTTAATTTTATGCTTATTGAAGGTTTTCTCTATCTTTATATTGACAAATCATTTTCATATTTCTCCATTCTTTTTCTCCTTTCAATCAGAATTAAATAAAGATAAAATTAAAAAATAAGTACCCCTCCAGTCCTTAATATAAGACCCATTTAACTAATTTGACTACATTAAAGAAGTTAGGTAAGTTCGTTAATTATAAGAAATATGATACGTTTTTCCTAAAATACCATAATCATCTTTCTTAGTACCTTCTCTCCCTCTTCTACTTGATTATGGTTGGGAGAGTATCCATAGGGGTAATTTAGAAAAAATTGATAAATACTCAGAACCAAAACCAACTCAACAATTGGGTCATATATTAAGGACCGGAGGAGTATTAAATATATTAAAAGTAATTTACACTTGGGACAAAAACTTTCCCTACAAATAACTTACAATGTAGAGAAAATGGTATCATTGAAGCAACTTTTAGAAGCAATTTTGCTATGCATGTACGTGAGAATTTTATCTCGGTTGCTCCTTACTAAAAACAAAAATATCCTTTGGCCTTAGCCCCGGGTCAGCTATATCCACTTATTGGTGACGTTTGTGGATTGACTCATCTTGCTGGTTTCTCTGAATTGAAACAAACCGTAAAGCTCTTGCAAACTTGCATTCCAGAGAGCAATTTTGAATTAAAAAGTCACCTTCAATCGATGTTCCAAGTCCGTTTCAAAAGGATTGCATGATACCTAGAATCGCACATCAACATGCCACATCTCACAACATTTGGAAGAATTTTGTTGACTGGTTTTTGACCATCAATATATGTGTGACCGACTTTTACTATAATCACCAGCTTTCCAAAAATAATCTCACACGTTGTTCACTATTCTTAGCCCACCCGATCCCGCACGGTTTCGTTTCTCCCCCAGATTCTCCCTCCCGAATTCCCCAACCCTAACTGAAATTCCCTCATCTATCATTCATTCCCACGCTCAGATCACATTTTCGTTCCCGATCATTTGCAGCATTGTTATTCAAATTCGAAATGACGAGCCAACATATAGCACGTCACAGAGACGATGCTGAGGTCTACCATGGCGAAGCAATCTGCAAGAAGAAATCTCGCGACCTGCTCGGCGAATTCTGCCTACCGGCAGGCTTGCTTCCGTTGGAGGACATCGTAGAGGTGGGGCACAACCGCGTCACGGGGTTCGTGTGGTTGAAGCAGAAGCGGAAGAAGGAGCACCGGTTCCAGCGCATCGGACGAGTCGTTTCGTACGAACCGGAGGTGACGGCGTTCTTGGAGGAGCACCGAATGCGGCGGGTGACCGGAGTAAAGACCAGGGAATTTTTCATCTGGGTCACGATCGCTGATATCTCAATCGACGATGACGATTCCGGTAAGATCACGTTCGCCAATCCCTCTGGCTTATCAAAGACGTTTTCCATTTCCGCTTTCGATGGCGAGAAGAATGAGAAGGAAGAAGGAAAGAAATAGGAAAATGCTAGCATGCGATGTAGACACCAGTCTAGTCAGGTCTCTAAGGACAAAAGTTGATTGAGATTTAGTGCATCCAGGAACAAGAAAAAGAGGAAGCTCATTATTCTTGAAGATATTTGAGCATAACACATTTATTTGCAGAAACCATCTATGAAGAACTCACTGTTCCTGAAGATGATGGTGGCTTCCCAACATCTCCTGCCTTGGCAATTGTTTCTGAAATATCATTGGAGCTTTAATGGCTTCCTTGTTGTCAGCACGACACACATGTGTAAACAGAACAAAAAAGGCAAGTAAAAATACTAGTTGGTCAAGGTGAAAAAATTGAAAGTGGAATACTGGAACAGTGGAACTTGATTTGAGATATGTTAGGGTTTTTCTAAGTGAATTATGTTAGGTTTTTTCCCCCCTTCTCTTGCAAGTCAGAAAATATGTTGTTGTAACTACTTTTTAAAATTTGGGGAAAAATATTAATTTGATTATAATAATATGAAATGTTAGGTATCAGTTTCCATGCTTGAACCATGATATTTGTGTGAAAAGTACTTTTGTCCTGACTAAAGGTCGCTAATCAAATAGTATAATCTATCATCATAAAATATAAAAGTTATAATAAATTACATTCATAAATCATTGAATATGAATATGAATTGTTTGAATTATTCCTTAAGTTTCATGTAATGCATGATATTGCAGAGTTATGTATCCATGCAAAGTAACGCAGTGGTCAAGTTGGTAGCTGAGCTCTTTCATCTAACTATGTTAAATTCAAACTTAATTAGGTTTAAGGGAAGCGGGTTTTCTCCGAACGGGAACCAATCCAACTTGAATCCAAGTTAATTGGTAATATCATATATTAGATTGCCAGAAAGAAAAATTAGCATTAAAAAATAAGGGAGAAAGAAATGAGGAGCTACAAATGTCAGCAGATTGAATTAAGGAAATTTCACTTGGAAGGATGCTATTTTAATACACAAGAAACCTTAAAACAATAAGCTAAATTTTTCTCTCTAGGCACAAATATTATCTATTAGAAGCAATCTTTTGATATTCATCATGTTATGAGAAATTAGTTTTTTTTTTTTTTTTACCAGAACGAACTCCTTTTGGTATTATTTGTGAAGTGGGAAGGGAGGAAACACTATTTGTGAATTGTGATGAGCTAAATTTAAGCCATTTTCTATTTTATCCAAAAACAGACCTTTTTTATTTGGGCCTTTCTTGGAGTTTTGAAAAGGCCTGCAAGGTTTAAATTCGACTCTGGCTTCAAATTTAAAGCCCACATATCTCCTAGGCAGTGTCTTTTTGGGTTTTCTTTTTAGCGAAATTGCAAATGAAAACCCCTTAATATGTAAAATTATGATTTGGAACCTTAAATTTGAAAAATAGCAAATAAGGACTGGGTCTTACTTTTGTAACTATAAAATATGGGTGAAATGTCTAAAATACTCTTTAGTTAAATTGTGATTTGATCTACTGAAGTCGTCATTCGCTAAAACGAACTTGTCATTTCCTATAGTCAACTCGGTATTTGGCATACTCTCAGTCAAGTTGTGATTTGGCTTACTAAAATTGTTATTCACTAAAATAAATCATTTTTCATAGTCAACATGTTATTTTTTTGAGGGGTATTTTAGATATTTTCTCATGATTTCATATTTGCAAAAATGAAATCAGGTCCTTATTTGCTATATTGAAGGGTCTTTTTTTTTTTTGCAATTTCCCTTCTTTTAACCTTCATGTAAACAATAAGTTAGTTTAGCTTTTCCACTTTTTTGCAAAGCAGGCTCCAAAGCCCGTGCGTGATTGTGTGTGTGTGTGTCTTTATATATATATATATATTTTGGTCGTCCAAGTTTTTGAAGAGCGATCATGATTCGCTCTTAGTGGTTTGGTCTTAAATTAGCTTCTTGTTTTATAGTTCAATGTAATTTTTATTTCATTTTTGGTTTATTATCAATTAATCGCTTCAAGATATTTGGTTCTTAATTTATGTCAAGCCAGTCGCACCTGCGGACACGATTGCAAGGAAGATATAAAATTACTATTTTTAAAAATTGCACACTATTATAGGGGACAATTGAAGTCTGAAGACTGACAGGAAAGCAGTATAATTTTGATTATGGTTTTTTTTATATTTAATTTTCTATTATTTATATTTAAATTTTAAAATATATACATTGAATGGTAAGGTTACAGGGCTGAAGAATTTTATTGTTGGAACTCGCTTTGCTTATACTATAAGTAATTTCATTTTCAGATTTGTTTTCAATTTTTTTAAATAAAATTGTCATTTCCTTTAGTAAGAAAAGGGTTGAGTATAAGACAAATGAAATATAAAAGCTGCAGAAGAAACAAATGCTGGAAAAAAATCTCAGTTGAAAACTAAAAATTGAGCAAACGGAGCGGTGGAGTCTCTGAGCTTGCTCCTGAGTTCTAACAATAAGCATAAGGTTAATTGTCATTAATCATAAAATCAAATAGATTTAATGTGTAATATAATCAACATAATTATTATATATACCATAATTATTTTTAATTATACAAAAAAATCATTCAAATTGTTAATAAAATACATGCAACTTATGTTATGGTTTCTGAAATAAGTCATAATGGTTATAATTAACAAACATCATAACAAATTATGAAAAAATATTTTTTTGCGGGAAATGATGAAAAAATATGAAATAAGTCAAGAAGACCTTTTAAGTCTGAAGTGATAAATTCAAGTTTTTTTGGCAGAAAAACTCAAACTAAGTAGTAATAGATATTAAAAGAATTAGAAAAGAATTAGGGAGAATTAAAAAAAAAGAAGAAGTTGGAAATTACTAAATTCCAGGTTTGGTAACTATACTTTATTTAGTGTTGACAATACTAAATTTGTAAACGAAAATAAGTTTTTGTTGACATCTTTTTTATTTGATACCACCTCTAATCCTTAATATAAAATCTTATTTAAATTTTATTTTGATCTTAAATATAAGATCCCACCCTAATTTTTTCTCATATTTATCCATTTTTTCTCAAAGAAATCCTTCTAATAATGATAATTTTAGCCAATACACTTGATTAGCGAAGATATTTTAGGAAAGACAACATCTATTTATCACAAATAACTAACTTAACTTATTTTTTTAATCTCTTCAAATTAGTTAACCAACTCTTATAAGATAGTATTTACAAATTTTTAACTTTTTTTTGGGGTCATTTTCTCGAAGAATTATGGTTAATTGGTTGTGACAGTTGTAGTGTTTATGAAGTCAAATCTATTTTGATTGAGAGAGCATCGTAAGACGCGTAAGTCTTGAAGGTCCTCCCTCGTATTACTTCGCATCAACGAACCCGGAAAACAAATTCCCTCCGTCCCTCTCTCAATGCTCCGTAGCATTCTGGACGATCGTATTTTCCGCCCACAATTCTCTTCACTTTCTCGTTGGATTCACTCTCCAACTTCCCTTCAGGTTTCGATCCATTTCAGGAAGCTTCAGGCTTGATTCGCTGAATCACTGAAGCCGAGCCCAGCTCAATGATCGGATCGAGCATGTCGAAGAGGCTGCCCTACACGAATAAAGATATTGACTATGACAACGCCAAGTTTCGCCACCGTTCATTCTTCAAGGTACCTCCAGGAAATTAGATCTTAGCTTGGAAATCATCTGGAAAGTTAGTTATGTTAAATTTGAATGGGACCCAGAATTTGATGGATGATAGCTATATATATTGTGGTTGGATTCTGTATTGGTGGTGTTTGTATAATTTGCAGCGATAAAATTTCGATTGATGTCAACCTGGGTGGGTGGACAATAGTTTTTCAAGTTTTACAATGGAATTTGATTAGAGGCTTATTGTATTAATGCAGAAATTTTCTAGATATCTTGATTTTGGTTCTCAAAATGAAATCTTTTAAGCTCAGCTGAGTTACATGAAACTTGTGACTGATTGACGTACACTAGCTAAGCTTGCTGGCCCTATTGAAAATCTAATTATTGGTACTTGTCTAGGAGAGTGAAAGCATGATTTTTAAGTTACTGACATGAAAGCATCTTGCATCTTATTTGCCTTATTCTGTTTAAGCCTGATTTTGTTTTGCCTTTTAGAGTTGTAGTTGTTTTGGTTGATACATACGAATTTTTGGTGCCAAATGAAATGAAAATATAACCCCCAGAATCAAAGATTAATTTTCTCAATTAGGCTATGTTCGATTTGGGTCACTCTAGATAAGTTTCTATTTTTCTAGAGCAGTTAGAAACACTTTTTGGACTAAGGTTGCTTTAACGCGTAAATCCGTTTAAAACTTGGCAGAGCGCATTCTTTTCTTTGATCTAAATGTTGATTTGTATAATCTGATCTTTTGCCCATGACTTCTGATTCTTATTTGCATTGCTTTTTCAATGGAGATGTGATGCAACACTCACTCTCACACACTTGCACAGATGCAAAAGGGGGCAGCAGAACAGTGATGATGGGGGAGAGGATACACATAACGTAGGAGGGAGATTGAGCTTAGAAATGAAGAGGGCTATAAGACCAGGAGGAGGGGGGATATGAAGAACTTGAGGGGAATAGGAAGGAATGGAGAAGAGATTGAAAACAAGGGGATAGAGAGTAGCTAAACCATATTAAATTTCGTTTCATTATCATCTGAGTACAAGTGTTGCCTAGCTGCTATTTATAAAGTGAGATTTCCTCCACATGAAGGAAAACACAATAATATCCTAGGGTTTCAGCCAAAATATCATATGATAAGTCTAAAAACATAAAACATAAGAAAATATTACTTGCAAGCTAGAACAGAAAGTAAATAAAATAAAATATAAAAGTAAGCTTAGTTTCCTCAAAATATATCAATTCTTATTTCCCATAAAGATGTGTCATGGATATAATATTAAGTGTCCTGTGTAAATTATATCAGGCATGAGGAGCAGAAATTTCAGTGAATAAGTATATTTTTCTGCCATGGTTCTAATGGTGAGTGGTTATTTGAAATGGATCATAAAATATTGAAGGTAACCGTTGTTGCTGATCCAATATTTGTTGTGTAAAAAGAATGATAAAACTTTGAGACTATGGGAACTGTTTTTCAAATTTTACAAGGATTATTAGTTTACCTCTTTAGATTGCAAAATATGATCAAATATGTGTTTCGTGTTCATGACTTGGTATCGGCTTAACCTTATTGAAATGGTAATCTTTGACCTTAGTTTCTAGTATAATTGATCATGCATGGTAGAAAAAGATGCATCACATGTAAAGTTCCTGTTTAAACTTCTCAAGAATAAAAAGAAAAATAAGCAGTACCTATTGATTTTTCATCTTTTTTATGCCCATTTATTTTTGCCCTTTCTCTGATATATAACATTTAATCTTCAGTTGTTCTATGAATATCAGCTCACTACTTTTAAATTAATGATTTTCTATGCCATAGTATTTAAAGGAAAAGGGATTTACTGCGTCTTGATTTTCCAGGCCTTTAGTCAGAGCTTGGCCACTAGCAATTTAAAGCGTGATTGTACTAGTTGTAGCACGGGAAAGTTCCTGCTTTTACTGCTGGTATTTGGTTTAGCATATGTTATGCTGACTCACACAAGCCCCAGTCCTGTTGTTTCTGATAATCAAGCAATTGGTGACAGAAAAGGTGAAGGTAACCTCATCACCAGGGGTGGAATCACACTAAAAAGCCTCTTGAGACGACCTCCAAGGCTTCCTCCTAGATTACCACCGGATAATATTGGTCACGGAAAACAAGATGTTGGATCAATATGGACTGCCAGGCAACAAAAAGTCAAGGATGCTTTTGTTCATGCATGGTCTGGCTATAAAAAATATGCTATGGGTTTTGATGAACTTATGCCGCTTAGCCAGCATGGAGTTGATGGATTAGGAGGACTAGGTGCCACAGTGGTTGATACCCTTGATACGGCCATGATAATGGGCATTGATGAAGTGATTGCCGAAGCAGGATCCTGGGTTGAAGCACACCTTTCTAAACGGATCAGTGAGAAGGGCCAAGTAAATTTGTTTGAAACTACAATCCGTGTTTTAGGAGGGCTTTTAAGTGCATATCATCTAAGAGGTGGGGAGAAAGGAATGAACTTGACAAATGCAGGACCTGAACCAGCTGTTTACCTAGAAATTGCCAAGAATTTAGCTGATCGCCTGCTCTCTGCTTTTACATCCAGTCCAACTTCTATTCCATTGTCTGATGTTATTCTGCGTGACTCCTCAGCCCATCCAGCTCCTGGCGGACTGAGCAGTACTTCTGAAGTTTCCACTGTACAACTTGAATTCAATTATCTCAGTTCGGTATCTGGTGATCAGAAATACAGTGTGGAGGCTATGAAGACCCTGGATCACATGAAGACTCTCCCCAAGGTTGAAGGATTGGTTCCTATCTACATTAGGTATGGAAACGTATTAGATTTATGTAGTGTACATGCCTCACTTTCTTCAACCACAACTTTTCGTCTGAAGTTCTCAACTTTTTTTTTTTTTTTTTTGGGTTCAATGTCTTATTTAACCTGTATTTTCAGACATGCCCAGGCCATTGTAGACCCTTTTCTCCTTTTTTTTAATGATTTTCTTCCACAAAATTGATATTGGCTATAACTTTAATGCAGCCCCCATTCTGGCCAATTTAGTGGAGAAAACATCAGACTGGGATCTCGTGGTGATAGTTATTATGAGTACTTAATCAAAGTGTGGCTTCAGTCTGGAGCTAGTCCTGGGGGTAATACAACGTACCTGTATGAAATGTATGTGGAAGCAGTGAAGGGTGTTAAGCATCTTCTTGTTCGAAAATCAATTCCAAATGGATTAGTTTTTGTTGGAGAATTGCCTTATGGATTAAATGGTGGTTTCAGTCCAAAAATGGACCACCTGGTATGCACTGACTCCTTTTCATGTTTGACATATCTTAAAGTCCACTTAGTTCCTTAGTTGCTGGGCAATTGTTTCTTTTTTTGCTCTATACTAGTAGAAAGAGTACGTTTATATCAAAAAAAAAAAAGTAGAAAGAGTACAAAAGGGCTTCTTAAAATTACAACTTATTTTTTCATATGTACTATATTATGTCTTACTGACGTTTCTGAACAATGGATTAGTATTTCGCTGAAAGTTATTATCAGGAAACAGATTTTTCAATTTTTTTGCTCCCTTGACAATAATGACGTATACTTCTTTCTCCTGCCTTTAGTTGAGAATTTTTTTTTTTTAAAAAAAGAATTCCTAAATGTCAATTATGAACTTCTTATCTATTTTTCTAAAATAGGGTGATGTTTCTGTTGATAATTGCTGCCCGTGCAGGTGTGTTTCTTGCCTGGTACTTTAGCTCTTGGTGCCACTAAAGGCCTTACAAAGGAAAAGGCAATGCTAAACAATGTGCTGAACTTTGAGGACATGGAAAATTTGAAGCTTGCAGAAGACCTGGCTAAAACATGCTTTGAAATGTACTCTGTAACTTCTACTGGTTTGGCTCCAGAAATTGCTTACTTTCATACCGAGGTTAGCAAGTTTTTTACGACATATTTTGATTTGTTGATTACAAAATGAAAGCAATTGTAGCAGAGCAGCTTATACATTTTTTCCCCCCTCTGCATGATGGTGCTCTCTAAGAAAATATAATACATATATTTTTCGTTGCTAAGTGATGAGTTGACTGATTATGCAGGAATTTTCTGAACAAGGTCTTGATGGAGGGAATAAGAGCTCAGAATATATTAATGATATTATAATAAAACCTGCTGATCGGCACAATCTTTTGCGACCTGAGACTGTGGAATCATTATTTGTTTTATACCGTATTACAGGAGATCCAAAGTATACTTCTGTTCCCTGTTTTGTATTGGCTTAATTGACAAAATATCCTGGGAATATACCAAAGAAACCCAGAACACAAGTTTAATATTTCTGTCTTGATATTTCTTTGATGACCTCATTTATTGTGCTACAGATATCGTGAATGGGGTTGGGAAATATTCGAAGCCTTTGAGAAATACACAAGGGTTGAGACTGGTGGATACACTTCTCTGGACGACGTAACTACTGTCCCTCCTAGCAAAAGAGACAAAATGGAAACTTTCTTTCTGGGAGAAACGCTGAAGTATTTATACTTGCTCTTTGGAGATAGCTCTGTTGTTCCATTGGATAAATTTGTTTTTAACACAGAAGCACATCCTATACCAATCAATTTGAAGAAATGATATGTTTTTTATGGCCGCGAAGGCATTCAATCGACAGAAAGCTTCTAGCCACCAAGAATGAAGTGGCACGAAGTTAATCGTGAATTCCTTACACGGAGCAAGAACACTTGTTGTTGTAAAGGCATCGAGTCGCTGGGATATCAAGGAACACAAAATGTGGCTAATATGTGTTCGAATCTTGCAACATTACAGCTCCCGACACTTTTGGTTATTGGACTTTATTTTTCCCCTCACTTGTATTGATGAGATTGTAAAATTTTGTTTCAATGATCACTAACAAAGAGAAGCTTTTGTAATTATATTATCTGATTTTCCAATGATTTTCCGGCTGGATAACGTTCTAGTCAATACATGATTATATTTTTACCTTCCTGTTAATTACATGCTATCTTCACACCCACGTTTTGACCTTCGATGGGTATCATAATGACTGCAAGTTTTCATTATCGCTACAATAAAGATGATCACCATCTCGAATGACGCTTATGTCATCTATCTCTGCTTTCTCTGTATTAATAACTCTTGTAGGTTTTGATCCCGCAAACTTTTCTTCTGCAGGTTCACAAATTTATAACAGTTAGAGTGAGAAACGAAGCAAAGTAGGAATTTATTTTTGTCAACCCCAAGTTATTTCAGTTTTGCTACCATAAGTTCAGAAATCTGATTTCCCTTTTTCAAAAAAAGGCAGGGGGGATTGAGAGAGAAAGCTGACCCTTTTCTTTCTAAGCACCTATATTTCTAAATTATCGGTTCAAAGTAGTATTCCTTTCAAGGTCAAAGCTTACCAGCAATCTTGAGCAGCTCTTGTATTGAATCAGGCAGAATAATCAACTTCCCGCGCTGTCCGCGTGAAGTACTGCTGCTTTGGCCTATCAAGTGAATCGTGACTCTCTTCTTCTTGAATCTAGCCACTTCTCTATCGCTAGGACAGTTAGGATTGCTCGGATAAGAATTTTTATATACACTCTCTAAAGGGTAGTTAAATGATCTGGGATCTTCATGTTTTCTGTCTCTGGTTGTGTCGTTCCTAACATGGTTTAACCTATCTGGCTCCTCAAAGTCTATTCTATATTCATCTGATCTCTCCCTATCTCCACAATTAATGAAGAGGTTAGAATTGCTCTTGTGATCTTGCTGTTCCACCTGAGTTTTTGATTTCCAACCAACGAAATTCGAGTGCTTTGCATTTGCATTTCTTTCTAGAAGTATGTCAACCATCTCTGGATGCCCTTTGAATGTAACAGCATGAGTATCCCTTACTCCATTTTCAGTTGTCACCTTGTGCAATGTAATCTCCGAGTCTGTGAAGTTTCTGTACCTTCCTTCTTGGACTAATGAATCCTGGAGTGAACTGTTTGTGTATGCATGAGAAAAGCTTTCTCTCGCTTTCACTCCATCCAGTTTTCCATGAGGGACCAGTCCAGGTTCTGCATTTGGATACTCAAAGCCCAAGCCTTCTTGTCCCTTTAATCTCTGTCAGTATAAATAACAAGTGGTTAGGACAATTTTGTAGCCAATATCATTGCTGTTATTTTTGTTATTGCTTTTGCTGGTTTTTAAAATAATGCATCTCTTTTATATATATATATATGTATGTATGTATGTATGTATGTATGTATGTATGTATGTATGTATGTATGTATGTATATGTATATGTATGTATGTAATCATTTTATGAGGCTGTTTTATATCCTATTTACCATGACAAGGTTATCCATTATGATTTTTGAATCTTCTGGATAAGCTTCAAAAGCCTTCAGTAACGAAGTTTTGTTGAGTCGTAAAATTTGAGAGAGCTCTGCAGTCCGGATAGTGAATGGTTGTGGCCTGTGGGTTAATATCCCAATCTCTCCAAATGTTTCTCCTAAAACTGCCTTCCTCACAACCTGAATCTTTCATGTGAACAGTAAGTCAGATAAAGTGGTGTCATCTAGTACTCTAATGAAAACAAAATGTTTGGTTGATGTAACATACTTGATTATACCCATCCATTTGGCGAACAAAATCCTGCAACAATCGGTCATTTGAATAGTAACTTTTATTAGTAGGTATTCTTAGAAAGACCTTTGCTTCATGATCATCTTCATCATTTATAAAATACTGATTGTCTAAACTAATGGCTTTCAACTGTAACAATATCCATGTTTAGTTAACTCACCACTGCCCCTGAAACTAGCACGCAAAAATCTGTAGGAACCTCATTTTGCAGTATCACATCTTCCTTGGGTGGAAAATACTCAGCTTCCATTTCTGAGGCCTGTTATTATAGTTACTTCGTCAGACTTCGTAACCTTGGTTGATTGAAGCAAGATGATAGAAATTCAGAAGATATATACTTACCAGTTGGAAAAGGAAGTCATGGGAAACTCCATGGAATAGGTAGACTTCCTTCACTATAGGAAAGAAGAGATGATTTGCGATGCTTGAACGAATTGCCTTGGGCAGAGCATTTAATGTTTCTTGTTGTTTCAATCCTTCTGTTTTAAACCTCAGACATAAGTGTGACAACATTTGATCTTGTAGGTGATGCGGCAGATGATTCCTTGATGCAAACTCTGATGCTGCTCTAATCGTATCTCTCTGTGGCACTCAGAGCAAACTCTTGTTAGTTGTCAGAAGAAAGTTCCTCTTATTTGAGATGAATTCTACTTATAAACTCTGATGTTGCTAAAGTCAAGGCCAAATAGAAAAGGGTGTCAGGTAACTGTTAGGAGGACTTTTCTAAGTTTGAAGGATTAAGTGCAATGTCAAGTATTGTCATCCCAGAAGAAACAGCTAAGCTGATATGAGGAGACAGCATCTTTTTCTTTTTTATCATGCTATGTCCAATTCTTTTGGAGAACACCCAAGGAGTAATCTCCACTATCATTACGCTGATGTTGCAGAGTGCATCAATGAGATTGCCTAAGGTGACCCCCTGAATACCAAAACAACTCTTGAGCTAAGAAGCATGTGAAACCTGTGCTAACACACTGTAGCGCGACAAAATTTGAAGTGTTCACATGTGATTTAAAGTGCCATAAAGTATCATGCAACGTCTAATATAAGTGTCCAACACACATGCAAGGCTCTTTTTCTGAAGTGCCTGTGCTGTCTAAGTAATATCTAGTATGATGACGATTGTCAGAGAACTGATACTTGAAAAATTCAAACTTCTGCAGATGAGTGATAAATTGAGCAGTAGAGGAGGCAAAAGGTGAGAGCACTAACAAAAGTTTTGGTGTGGCTGGTCCAGTGAACCACAAGGTTCGTCATGTTTCCAATGATGTATGATGTTAATCCCAAATTGAATAGCATGAACACAGTATCAAACAGCATCTCCGCAGGGTTTTGAGCATGTAAATCCCCGTAGCCAGTAGTGGTAAGTGTTACAATGGACCAGTATATTGCAGTCACATATCTGTCCCAAAGATCTTCTTCTTTGAAATTTGGCTGCGTTGCACCAATCCAGGTCCTTTTGGAATCAGGATACTTCTCTGCAATTAGATAGCAAGAGCAACCGGCACAGTGAACAGCAAACAGTGTCACCTGAAATTAATCAATAAGTCAATCAATATACATGATAAAATTTATATCCAGACGCGCTCTACCCAAGTGTTGAATAGAATGTTATGAATAGTGTGACTTGTTCTTCAAAGTCTGTGCAATGTACAGGGAAACGTGTTTATTTCAATCAAAATTGAATTTGGAAATGAAAGATATGAGCTTTAGTGGCTTACGGCAGTGAGTTTTATGCACCTGGTCCAGAAATAGTTAAAGCGAATGTCTTTCTCAAGTCTGAAAGAAAGTAAAGGAGCAAGTAAGAACTGTGATATCCTTATGACTGGAATTTCGAGATGTTGCAGAAGACCAAATCACCGGGAGCATGAGTTGAGTATGGATGATGATGAACCTTGCAAACAGAGAGCTGACTCGTCTCAGACGCCATAACCGAAGCATGTTAAGCAGGTCAAAGCCAAGCTCACTGCTATGGTTTGTGAAGAGAAGGCTGATGGACTGAAATGGTGCTGTTGAGCAGACGTCAAAAATAAACCAGGTAGATATGTACCTGTGAGTTTGAGTTTGAAGTTATATCAAGAAGTGTTTTTGAAGTTCACGTTCCTCTTTAAGTAATATGCATGTCTCAAAAAAATAATTTAATTATATGGTCTTCTCTATTCTGGAAAGTTTAGAACTCTAAACCAAAAGATGCTTTACAGTTCATTTTAACCAAAATACCCTCACCCTTATTACTTATATGATTGGATTTCTCTTTCTATGAGATAACAAGCATTAACAGGAAGCTTGAAGAGGAATCTTGGTGCCATTTTTCTTGTTCTTCTTCTCAATTTTTTTATGGAAAAAGGATCCAAATGAGCTGTGTATTTACCTGATCGCAATTTTCCAGGGATCATCAACAAGGAGGTGAGAGTGACTATCTAAATATGCAACAAAGAATGTGAGCACGATGTCAATGGCAAAGAAGCCATCAACAACGTTGTCGATGATGAACAATGCATCTTGCTTTGTAGACAGAAAGGCAAACTCAAAGGGGCATATCCAGGCCGAGTAAATGACAAGAACTACCAGAATCATCTCCCAAGCCCTGTAAATAATGAGCGTGATAAGCAGCAACCACAGTACCATAAGAATATTCACTATCATACATACATATATACTTATGTATATATTGTCTCTCTTTAAGCTCTAGAGAGTCATTACCTATATCTCGGATCGAAAGGGGAGATTATGTATCTTCGGAGTTTGATTTCCTGCACCATTTGGGCTCCAAGAGATGGAAGAAGATCATTAGACAGAAAGTTGCTATGAGAAAAACTTCCCATATTGATTTCATCTAAACAGAACCTCTGGAAGAAGTTCTTTGCACAGGAAAATGACATATTCTGAGTTTGCATCCCTCAAGACTGTAGTAGAAGCTGTTAAATTATAATGATACTGGGAATATATATTGGTAGGGAATAAACAGGAAGCATATGCAGCTAGCAGTGCCAAATAAAGGGTTCAAAATGATGGAGCCGTAGAACTAAAGAAGGAAGCTTGTTTGAAGAAGAATTAAGAAGAAGAAGAAGAAGATGCATATAGTGAATGGTGTTTCCGGCTGTACATATTGTGAAGGTAGTGGCAGTTCCGGCATCAGTATATATAGGCCATGTTTTTCAGGCACAGATTGCGTAGTTACTATTTCCATTTCATATCCGAATATGGAGCAGCAGCCATTTTAGAGTGGGTAGGGATTCAACATATGGATGACACGTGGACCACTAAGGTTTTATTGCAGAGGTTGTCATTGTAACCCATGTGCAACAAACAAGAAACCAAATTTTAACTCGTTTTCTCTTGGATCTTCTTAATTACTTGTAAGTTGTAAGT